GGATCTGACTCGGCTACACTGATATCCGACTGTATTACACACTGGTATCTGACTCTATTACACTGGTGTCTGACTGAGTTAATATGCTGTATCTGACTCTACTATTATTTAAATTATGCACAAATTCTTTATTCTTTGTTATATAACCATTGGCTCTATATTATCTTATGTGCCCGAAGGATGAGAAACTACGGATTTTATGTTACAATCCGGGCACCCCCCCTTTGGGCAAAAACGGCGAGACTAAACGGCAAATTCTCTTTCATCCTTGACAGGGCCTCATATGCAAATAGGCCACCTCTATTCTCACCCGGGATGAGAATAGTGCAGGCTAGTCTTTTGGCTATTCTCACCCGGTGCGCGTTCACCGTTATAGCCTAGATCTAGGCCAACAAATTTTGCGTTCACCCTAAACCACAGAATTCTACACTGTCGTAACAGAAAAATTGAAGAATTCTGTGCTGTGAACAAACGTTCCATTACAACTGTAGCCTACTAAAAGCGTACAATTCTGTATGTGGGCAGTGGAGAGAGAGAGAGAGAGAAAGAAACAGAGAGAGGAGTAGCGCGAGAACTTCCGGTCAAAACAAAATGGCGACCCGCGTAGTTCGGCTCGATTCGAAAAGTTAAATAGCCCTAGCATCTTTGTAGACAACCAAATTAATTTACTTTTGTGTTTTAACATCATTTTTTAACTTTGTTTTGGTCAATTTGATCGTCGACACCGATAGACAGTAGGCTATTCAGAAAGAGACAGAGAGAGAGAGAGAGAGGGGGGAGGAGTAGAACTTCCAGGCAAAACAAAATGGCGACCCGCGTAGTGAGGCTCAATTCGAACAGTGAAATAGCCATAGCATCTTTGAAGACGATCAAATAAGCTTTAGCTTACTTTTCTGCTATAACGTAATTTTTTCTTGGCTTTTATCAATTTGATCATCCACATCGATAGAAAGTATTCCGAAATGAGGAAAAACAGGTCTTGTTTCAAACCGGGTGAGAATAGCCTACGGCCGCAAGTCTCACCCAGGGTGAGAGGTCGATCGTATTTCTATTCTCACCCCGGATGAGAATAGCCACTTCCATGCAAATAACTCTCCAGCCTTCAGAGTCTACCAAAACGTAGAATCAAGGTCACAGGCTCCTTCATCCACAACCAATGTTAACTCTTCCGGGGAAAGAGCTTCATTCACGCTGTTTTGCTCAGTTGATGAAGAAAAAGCTGTGTCTTAAGGACTATTTTTAGCAAAATATCGCCGTAACTGTTGTTTCCACGAAAGTAAGGGAGGTTGCTTTAGGTTTGTGTGCCACTCTTTTGGGGCTAGATTTGAAAACAAAGTTTTAAACGATCTTTTTGTACCCCAGTGCCCGACAGCAAAAAAAAACGTGCTGCCCGAACCGGTACGATTACTCTACGACGTTTAATCACATGTGACAAAAAACAACCCAAGTCTTTGCCCAAGTTATCGAAAATGGGTAAACAACTCACCCAAAAGTGCCTTGTCCAATCTTAGCCAGCTTTTCATACTTCGATTCGTCGGGGCAGAAAGGGTAGTAGCCTTCTTCTCCAGCCTTTGGCATTTTGAAACGGTCTGCTATAAGAGTTAAAACAAATAAAACAGTAGTAAAATCCCGTCAGTATACACACAAACAAGGGGAAACCCCTTCGCGATAAGCAGAGTGAGAGTGACCGGAAGTGAATTGTTCATGCCAGATATTTTTCACAATAACGACAGCAACAATAACAATAACATCAATTATTTATTACAGTATTTGGGTAAACTTGCTTTTTAACTAAATGATCAAGCCATGATTAGATGAAAGCTTAATTTCAGCAGCTCTTTCAGCTTATCAAATATCTTGTCATCTAAATTAAAAAGTTTTCACCATAATATTATTACCATTTCAACTTGGCAAGTCAATATCATTACGTTAACGTTGCTTGAGCGCACTCTAGGAAACAAAAACACTAAATTTTAATTATAACATCAAAAGCAGAGCTGTTAAAGTACTTTTAAAAAGGTACTTAAGTACAAATTTAAGTACAATCTAAAATATGTACTTAAGTACAG